AGGAAAAAGTAATTTGTATTAAAATATTTTAAATACAAATAAAAACCATTATTCCATTTGATCTTGATATTTTAGACTGACTGGAGGCCGTATTTCTACAATAATATATTGGTTACAAACTGAATTCCGCTCAGAGTTTCAAACTCAAGCATTTTTTCTTAGCCGCTTACTTTGGCGAGTTCGGGTAGCAACTGGTGAGGACCGTTTCTTTTTCCTCAAGTAGTAGTTCAGAGATTATAAAATTTAGTTTATAATATCCTATATCTACTATCGTCTCAAATAGGTACAAGTTAATAAGTCATACCAAATACTCAGGCTATTGGAGCCATCAAAGTGAATTTAGAACACTTTGGAAATATTGGAAAAAGAATTTGTATTAAAATATTTTAAATACAAATAAAAACCATTGTGTCATTTCATTTGATCTTGGTATTTTAGACTGACTGGAGGCCGTATTTCTACAATAATATATTGGTTACAAACTGAATTCCGCTCAGAGTTTCAAACTCAAGCATTTTTTCTTAGCCGCTTACTTTGGCGAGTTCGGGTGGCAACTGGTGAGGACCGTTTCTTTTTCCTCTTAGTTGGCGCGAAAGCGGGAACAGAAGATATGACAGCAGTAGAAGAATGTTTCTTTTTCTTCATAGTTGGCGCAATATATGGTACAACAGGTATGACAGCCGCAGGAGACTGTCTCGTTTCTTCTTAGTTGGCTCAACAGATGGTACAGCAGGCTTGACATCTGTAGTTATATTCGAAGCAGGCATAGAGAGCTGAGCAGTTGTAGCAGATCCTGAAGTAGGGAACGGAGCAGCTGTGGTAATTGATGTTAAAAAAAGGCTGGGCGAGTGCCACAACGGTTTGTTGTTCACGTGATACGTCGTTGAGGTGTTTTTCTTGGTTGTTTTCTTAACGCAAGATAGGTTTGAGGCGCTCGGGCTGAGGTTATCCCCAAGATGTTGTGATGGCAACTTTCCAGCTTTCACTTTATATCGAAGCGGATTATAATTCGAACCGTATTGCTGGAAGTCCGTTGCAAGAAAGTGGTTGCTACAGATGAAACTTTCAAGTGTCCTTTCAGAACTCCCATCTATTCAATTCTGATATTGTGCAAGCTGACATTATCTTCGCCTCTTTGTTTTTGGCAACTATAAATCTTGCATCTGCCTCCTGACATGTCGTCAAGTGTAATGCTGTTGATATGCAAAAATCAAACACCTGTTTTACTTTTTTATTGTCAGACAGTAAGATAAATGTGGTTATAAATTGTACTTCAATTCTATTTCATTGTCATCCGTAAGACTGATGTAGAAAGAAATCTTGATTTCCGCTCTAGAGTCTAGACAGTAATCCAGAGGGCCGTGTTTCTGTCTAATACTTTTACAGTCTATAGTAGTATTAATTATACAAATACATTGAAAGTGTACGACCATCAGTATGACCAATTTTCCACCAATAAAAACACATAGATTGTAGACACAGACTCATACTTATACTTTTTCAAATTTATTTTACTTTATTAAGTAGTTTTTTAATTGCGTAAACCAGTCCATTTATTGCACTTGTGTTAGTTCTTTGTCGGCTTTCAAAGCTCGACACATGTTAGACACGGATAGTGTCATACCATTGTGATAATATTATATATTTCAAAGGAGTTAAGTTACAATGTTTGTACATATGGTATGGCTCTCATAGCTGTTCTAGTGGTTTGGGGAAGATCGATGGGAAGAAGTGGTCATTTAATTCCCTGTTGAAGCCTGGACCAAGTGAGTCGACAATGGAGGATATGCGCTGGGTCAATTCAGGCCGGTGCTGACAAAAAACTGACACCATCGAGTGTGCCACGTATTCGCTTTCTGACCTACTAAATAGCGTACCCACCTCTGTGGTTTGGATCGGGTCTTAATCGTGTAGTGCTGTGGAATGGGTTAGTGCAGAGTACGAAATGCCAAGTAGGACCAGGGTATCCGTCAAAATTCGGTTGAGGAGCGAGGTTGGGGGTGAACCGACGCCGCACCAGACCACGGATGCACTCGGTATGTGCTGGTTTGCCTGTATTGGAAGTATCGTAGGCGGAACAAAACCAAAATTTGGAAGTAGTACTTCAACAGCGTGATTAGCCGGGGTATAGGAAACATCTGTTGATATGTCAGAGACGGGTGTGGGTACAGGGGTTAGTTCTACCATGGAAGTCGTGGCGCTCCTGTAGTTGCTGGAGGAGATCAGGGCCAATGAGAGGCAGTTTTGGGCCTACCAGGATGCATTGGATCAGTTGCTGGATGCAGGCAAAGTGGCTGGTGGTGAATTTTTGGCCACCGGGGCAGACAGGGCAGAGACAGCCGTCAGCGCGGTAGTCGAGCAATGTAAACATGTACGTATTTGTTACAATCATAGCACAGAGCCGGATTGGTGTAGGCTCGAAGCAACGGTTGAAGCTGTCGTGTCTGGCTTTGTCCCGATCTGAGGTTGGCGGTTTGCCCGTGATCAATTGGTAATAGTATTGACGCCGGGCCATTGCCGCGATCTCCTTGTTGGACCAGCGTTTTGTTGAATTCTTTCTAATGTCGTCACATCGTCGGCGGAGGGCTACATAGTCTGGTGTACGCCCGTCCGTGGTTTGTATACAGTCTTCAAGTGGGCATAGATACTATACGGAAGCGCAGTGAGGGTTTGTCGTGGGCCCAGGCGGGTTGCGTCAAAGGGGTGAGTGGGTTTGTGCTGGCCATTGAGTCGAGCTGCAGTCCCAGGCAACCTCCGAGGTAGTCCGCAAATGCTCGCGTGGGGAGCAGGTCACAAAAATGAAGTAAGTTGGTTTGGTGTTTGGGAAACCTTGGGTATTTGGTGCCTGTGATGATGGCTGCTACTCGAATGAGTGCTGAGTTATAGCTCTCAAACAAGGGGTCCAGCGCATCCTTCCATATAGGTGGAGCCCAGGCAATAATGTTCAGGCCATATGTAGCCGTGAATAAGATGAATGTTTTGAACAACACCAGCCTGTTGCGGGGGTGTCGCCAGCTGAAGCCATGGAAACCATAAGCGCGGAAGGAGGCGATACCCAGAGACAATGCTGGAACCAGAGATTCCATATGTCTGGCGAAATTTATCCCTGGTATCCCGTGGGAGAGTGGGAAACCCAGGTATTTGGAGAATTTAGGCATGACATGTGTGGGAGCCATCTTCAGGGGTAGGTGGCATGTGTTTTAAGGGGCATCTGCAAGCGTCGACGTGATAAGCTCACCATTTATACGGAGTGTTGGCGCCGCGTGTCTCAAGTTGGTAGATCGTACTCGGGGGTTGATGATACCCTGTTTGAGGCCAGATTTGCCTCCCCAAGCATCAATGTCGTCTAAAAAGGGCTGGAGCGGAACCGGTTGGGGGGCTTGGATCCGTGTGTCGTCGACAAATATATAAAAGTGGAGGAGATTGGGCCGGAATTGTGCTAGTGTGACAGCCAAAGAATCCATGTAGATAATAAAAAGCTGGTGGCCAACGGTTGAGCCTTGTAGGATGCCATTTGTTCTATGAAATAGATGCGAGAGCATGCCGCGGTATGTCACTCGGGTAGGGACCCTCTCAAATAGCGCGCGGAGGCAGTTGATCCAGTTTTCGGGCATTCCAGTGTGGTGCAAGAGTACCTACAGGCGCGGGAGAGCAACCTTGTCGTATGCCTTGGTAATGTCCAGACAGACTTCGTTCCACTCATCTTGCAACTGTGTCTCAGATTCCATGGCGGCGAGTGCTTGGGTATGGCAGAAGTATCGCGATTTGAAGCCAGCTTGGGTTGCGTAGGTAGCAGAGCTGGGGTGGCTAGTAATCAACTTGAGGAAACACTTCTCAAATATGCGTCTGACTATTTGCGTTAGCGTGATAGAGCGGAAGTCGGCGGGGGAGGTGATATCTGCATCGGCCTTATTTTTGAGTGCGCTGTCAGGAGGGTGCAGTTCAGGGCGGTAGGGAAGGTACCCGCCTTTAGTAGCTCAGTGAATGCTTCAGCAAGGAGTCTAATCAGTAGGCTATTGGCATCCGG